AGTACTTGTGATTTTTAGGTTTTTATCTGGCTTTTGTCAACTGTTGATTTGGTTATAAAAGTCACTTATAAGCCTCACAAACACAGGGTCGTTTATTTATGCGTCATAATGTTTCCCTTGACGTGTGTTTTTAAGTGTAACACATATACAAAACAACATCAAACAATACAAGTACCATACTGGTGTATGTTATTCAATTGTTTTAGTTGATATATTCAGTGCACTAAGATGTTGATTCAGTTATCATAATGATAATTTATAGACTTTAGCACGTTCGTTGAATGGATGTAATTGACAATTGCGCACTTCCGTATCGCGTTCTCATTGGTTAATGTGTATGCCATATACCGCAGGTGAATCTGGCATACACCGTAAGTGAATATGCCACATTTGTTGCAGACTATGACATGTATTTGTATCGTATTTACCGCGTAACACATGCACCCTATGCAGACAGAGCCTGTGGGAAATATTGGGTGCGGCGCAAATGAGCGGAGGGTGCGGAGCTAACGGTCATTTTTGAATTTAAAATTGGGATATTTCTGAAACTAAGCCGTTTTGGGACTTCAAATATACCAAGATATATGTATTTGACACCAAATATCAATAAAATTGTGAAAATAGTAGTGCAATTCATTTTATAGCGACGCAGTATGCCTTAAACATTTCCCAGACCTATATATTTTGAGACTATCCTTTTAATACTGCGTCCCCAGCATTCATAAAAAATGGTGTTCAAGATACACTACCCATGCAAATTATTTTTGCATCTTGGAAGCCAGGCAGTATCTGTGTGATTTTATAAAAATTCGGAAATGTTCTTCAGATATGAGCCCCCTCTAAATATTGGGTGCGGAGGTACGTTTATGGAGCACCTCCGCACCCAATATTTAGAGGGGGCTCATATCTGAAAAACATTTCCGAATTTTTATAAAATCACACAGATACTGCATTGCTTCCAAGATGCAAAAATAATTTGTATAGATAGTGTACCTTGAACACCATTTTTTATGAATGCTGGGGACTCAGTATTAAAAGGATAATTTCAAAATATATAGGTCTGGGAAAGGTTTAAGGCACACTGCGTCGCTATAGAATGAATTGCGCTACTATTTTCACAATTGTATTGATATTTGGTGTCAAATACACATATCTTGGTATATTTGAAGTCCCAAAACGGCTTAGTTTCAGAAATATCCCAAATTTAAATTCAAAAATGACCGTTAGCTCCGCACCCTTCGCTCATTTGCTCCGCACCCAATATTTCCCACAGGCTCTGTCTGCATAGGGTGACATGGTATGGATTACTGAAACAACGAATTTAAATGAAAAAAAATTAGCACATGATTACAACAAACAACAACTTAACCCATACTTTTAACTCTTAAAACTATTAACAGATCGATGTAGTCTTACATGACGTGTTAAATATCAGATGTTTTTGGATGATATCTGCTCTAGTGATTTTGCATTTAATCATGAAACGCTCATCATCAGACAACTCAAAACAAACACTATTCTCTTTGTGACAAGAGGAAAAATGTTTTACAGATGCCTTACGGCAAAGTAAGGTTTTTTTGTTACATACATACATCGTCGCATGAGAATAACTTTGTACTATCTCACATTTTTACGGAACTGAGAGATCAAGGTTTGAAAGTTTAGAGGTCTGTATCTTACTTAGTATTGCTATGTGAAACTTGATTTTTTGTATGTCACCTGGTCTCACCCTAGAGATATCTTATATGAAATATCATACCTTGAAACAATTTACAAGATCCTTTTTTAAAACTATGGAAATGGAGTTGATACAATTTCCCACCGGAATAACAGCTTATTTCTAATTTCAAATTGTCATATCTGATATCAACTGTTTCAACCAATCAACTCTCTAAGAATTGGTCATGTGACTTGCAAAACTTGGAGTTATAACAATCTTATATTAAAACAAAGTATGCCAATATGCATGTTATTGTGTCTAGAATGAAAAATAATGTTTTGCTTTGTAAAAAAATCTTCAAAAACCAAAGAATATTATTTAATAAAATAAAGAAAATTCAATTTATAAAACTTTAAAATCAATTTCTCAAATAAGTACAATTATTTCTTAATTTTGGAATCTCAGGACACCCTTCAAAAAGAATTTATTGCCTTTGAAACTAAGGCAGAAATACAATGCATTGAAACCAATGATGCCAGTACGGTCCCCCACATATTTCCCTCGGTATAAACCCTGTAGCCTAAACCTCCCAGCACATTACAATGTAGCCCCTTAGGGCCGGTCCGCTGGTCATTATCAGGTTATTTTTGATACAGACCAGTTGATTTTTTCACTGGGTATAGGAGAATAACATTGCAACTGGTCCGTAATTCCATTTTGACCAGCAGGTTTCAGATCCTTAGGGCCTAAGACATAACCAATTTTTATTACATGCACATGGAAGAAATTTGAAAATTGAAAAATAATTTCTAATTCATTTTAGATTAATGAAAGTGATGAAACCTCGATTTAGGTAATCACATTTTGTTCATTGGGATGCAGCTATCATTATCCATTCATTTTCTGTTGTTTGCTACTCTGTGGAGTACAATTGGGCATTGAAGCAATTGTAGAAGTGGAGACTAAGAGTGGCTCTTTGTAAAGAAATTGAACCAATTTGTTACTTTTCCAAAATAAAATGTAGATGATCTAAAAACAATGATCCCAAAAATGCAAAAGAAAGGACAAATCTGAAAAACATACTAGTAATAAAATAACTAAAAAGATCCCAGATGTTCAGTGAAAAGCGCAAAGTAAATCATAGATGAAAATAAAATAAAATAAGTGTTTTAAGGGACTATACTAACATAAAGATAACTCCTTATTGATATAGTGTATGGTCAGTAAAAGTTAAAGCTAGTTTAAATAGATTAAGCTTTTTTCCACAAACTATAAAACATCATTTTGAAAGAGATTTCAATAGTTTACAGACAGTGATTGCCTTTGAGCAATGTGGTGCAAAACATGACAGTTACTATGACAGTTACTGTTTGTTTTGATTACTATATCTAGTATATAACCTATTATTATGTACTCTATTTGAAGAAACAAATAAGTAGTCTTTCATTTTCAACATTTAATGATGACAGCTTCGTATATGCATTTCTATTGCATTTGGCCATTCAAACCCCTATAAGACCTGGTAGCAGGGAAGATAAAGGGTACCTTTGACTGCTCACATGATCTAATTAACTGGTCATTTGTACTTTTCATCTTCCCTGGTAGCAAGGATTTAGGTTTTCGAGGAAATTAGTAATTCTATTTCATATCATGTGGCCATGAATAATCCAATGAGCATCCATAATACAAAGAGTAATTGAGGGCATATAATTTGAATATGCATGGGAGTACACATACTGTATCATTTTATTTTTTTGATCTACTTGTAATAGTTCTAAAACTAAAACATGAAAGGCCAGGCATGCAAACTGGCATGGTATTGTGTTACAAAACATTATTTCATTCTAGATACAATAACATGCATATTGGCATACTTCGTTTTAATATAAGATTGTTATAACTCCAAGTTTTGCAAGTCACATGACCAATTCTTAGAGAGTTGATTGGTTGAAACAGTTGATATCAGATATGACAATTTGAAATTAGAAATAAGCTGTTTGTCTGGAGATGGTACAATTTCACACTGAATTCTAGCTTAATGAGAGGGAATTGAGATGGGGCATGTATCTGAGATGAAAGCCTGTGTTTCAAATAGTAAAATTCCATGTCTATCTCAATTTTTTTGAAAATGGCAGTTAGTACAAAGTTATTCTCACGCGACGACATGTCAAAAGAAGTAACATATTCGAAGTGAAACTTACACGGTCCGTGAACATTAATATATTTACTAAAATGTATCTTGTATTGCATTCAAGTTTTACTTCACTGTGCCCACTATTCTCTGTCTTTGCCTATATGGTTTTTTGCCAACAACATTCTACAAACTGCTTGATGAATCTAATTCATGTCTGGTAGAACACTAGAAATAAATGTAAAATGTATTTTACGTTCAGGAATACAGAAATAAACCAACGTCCTCCATTTGCAACTTAACTGTACCTTGTTTCCCTTTTAAACGTGGTCACGTGGTAGGGTGGTAGTGTGAAGTCATACGCGTATCGAGTAAAGGACGCGAAAGGTCTGTGCAGTATGGCAAGTGATTTTAGACACCTGGCAAGTGGTTTTAGACACCCCTTGGCAAAATCTGGCTACGAGCCTATTCTCTTTTAAGAAGCTTTAAGTTTATGAATGCAAAAGGGGAGATTCTTCCCGGGAGGCAAGGCATGGTCTTGTTTTTCGTCAGGCATGAAAATATGGACACGTCGCTAAAAGTTCGCGCAACTTTTTCGCTTTTTAACACGACAGAATGTGACGTTTATGAGAAAAATGCAGACATTTGGAAATCCTTTCGTCCTCCACATTTGCCTCTATATTTCAAAATATTTAAGACGAATAACTCTGATATCGTATTATAGTAGCCCGGACAGAATTGTTCAATGGTCACTTTTTCTTTAATAACTTTTTTAATTTTCAGTATTATCAAAATCTGATTACATATTTGAAAACTAAAGTAGCATTTTGACATACAGAAAAAATATCACTTGTGAAAGATGTACAGGTATTCACCTCAATAGAGTGAAATATTTGTTCAATATTCCGAAGAATTAAAGTTACATTCATGCGATACCCTAAAAAGTAAGTGCGTCACCTTTTTGCGACGCGTCCTGATTACACTTCTGATTTTGATTTTCAAACTCCTTCGCTATTGAAGCCTTTGAAAGTGACATTTACTTTTACAAGTCCATGAGATTTATGATATCTACTCTGTATTAATCTCACGAAATAATAAAACTGAACGACCCTTATTTTGAAGATTTTTATTAACTCGCTTGTAATAAAATTACAGTTTAAACAATCATACTCTCAACTTCTTAAAATATATTATTCTTTTCAATAAATATGTCAAGGAATCGTTAAACCACTTCGGCTCATAATAAAGCTTACCATATGTATTCATGAATCTCGTATTTCATAAAATAACTATGAACAATTTGTTGCACCTTTGTGTTGAACATATTGTTTTTGGAAGGGGGTCGTAATCGAATAATAAACACCTCATACCAAAGTATACCAAGGAAAGTTTAGAAAGTGTTTTGAATTGCCCTTGTATCAATTTGGATATGGTTGCTTTTTGATTTATCAACGAAAAGCAAAAGTATCTATTTTAATGTAATTTTGTCAATTCTAAAACTCAAGGGGCGAAAACCATTTACTAATTGTATGATAATGGTTCTATATGATCTTTCTCTAGTATTTCAGGAATAAAAACTGAATGCAAAGATACATTTCTGTAAATCAATGTTTCAATGGCTCCTTCGCCATGTCGGCTTCTTTTCACAGCTGGATAACACGAGTTTGCTATATCCGAACACTTTACTTTTTTCCTGTCATCTGTTTGCTTCTCCTCCATGTGATTGTACCAATAATATTCACACTGGAACTTTTTCACACCATATCGTGCTTTAAAAAAAGACACAGGGTTTCTTATAGAAGGGTACCAGCCACGGCTAATTGGACGCTTGTGTATCGGATAAAAGTCGTTTATACTGATGTATTCTTTCAAAACTTTACGTTCCCATACATGTGTTCCATTGTTTACAAAAAGCTGAACGTCTATAAATGGCAATCTCCATTGGAAAGGTTTCCTAGCCAGAGGTGAAGAACATTTGTAAAACTTTGCTTGAAGGAAAAGGGAAGTGTCTCCATTGTTCCAAATTTCTCTCCAAGCAGAGAAGTTTCTTCTTTGAATGCCACACTGAAATTCTTTGTATATGTTTCGTCCGTCTGTCCTACTATGGATGCCGTATCTGCCCGTCTCTACCAACTCCTGAAAAGCCAACATTTGCCTTTCATAATCTCTTTGGTCAGTATTAAGATCAATGTCATCATCCCATGGGACAATGTCATGGAAGAGATACGAACCAAGTAGCGACCCACCCATTAACACATAGGTGACGTTATATTTTTTGAAAGCACGATCTAGTTCTGCTAGCATTTCATAGAGGTCGCTGAACATCGAGTCGGGCACACGCCTTGGTAATAATGAACAATTTGTTATGAATAAAGGATGCAGCACATTATTTTCCTTTCGTGTAAAGGTCTCATTTCTGATTTTAATTATCGTTTTCGGCGGTTTAGTTTCCCTCATATGATCTGGCATTTTGTCAACCGTGAACGTTCTGAAGATTTCGTTAGATCCATACTTCTCATGTTTTGCATTTCCGGTATCATTCATAAGTATCCGATCGTTGTCCCTAATGTTTGGTGTTTGCTTTACCAATCTATGAGATACGAAAAAGAAATAGTATGACAATAGCATCGAATTGAAAATAACAAAAATAACTATGAATTTCTGTAAGGTCCTCATAATTCATCTACTTAATCCCAATTAACCTTGTTTAATTAAGTTATTTATCCGAGTTCTCAACAATATTGTGAGAACTAGTTAGCACTGTGGCTATTTAACTTCGTCTGTAATATACACTCTCCCTCAAAAGTTTGGGAACCTGGATTTTCCATGTGTTGGTGATGTGCTAATATTTAATCCACTTTGGGAGATTCAATTCAAACTCATTTTCAGGCTGAATAAAAGTATACCATTCTAAAAGACATTGTCTAGTTAAAACTTAGTTCATTAGAAAATCAAGGTTTCCTTAGTTTTGGAGAAAATGAGACTACGAGTTGATATATGCATATGCTCTTAATAAAATCAATTTTATAGCTACCTGGATTATATGTTTGACCAATAAATGCAAAAGCTCTAAAATTACTTCTTGTAACGTGCAATTATATAGTTTAATTTAAGTCATACACGTATCCAGTAAAGAACGCGAAATTTAAGAATGAATACCTTTTGTGCTGGCTCAGTTAGAATGAATGATTCAGAACGATTCAGTGATCATGTATAGTACCCAAGTCGTGTCTTACCCAAGCCCAACAGGAGCACTAGTCCTCACCTGGTTATAAAGACGTTACGTCTTTCTAACAAAATGGATGAACTTCCGCCGGAGGATTTTTTTATTTTCACCAAGGAGGTCGATCTGTATCCAAATATGTTGCCCTAATGTTAATAGTAGCATTGGGTTACTGAAAAGCGAATCAGTGACGAGTAAATACATCCAAGGGCTCCAATTATCGAGTGACAAGTCCTCATTTCAGCAACCAGGACGTTGATAGGCCATAACACAAAGCAACCAAGACATTATGAAATTCATCAGATAACGTTCTGGTTGCTGAAGTGAGAAGTTCTCACTCAATCATTGGAACTGCTGGATATATTTGCTTGTGACTGACTAGCTTTTCAGTAACCGAGTGTTACTATTAACATAGGGGTTCAGTTAAATACTTGGGTACAAATTGACCCCCTTCTTGGTAAAAATGATACTAAAAATTCCCTTTGACGGAAGTTCATCCATTTTTTACAAGGACGTTACGTCTTTATAACCAGTCGGGTTGAAAATGTCCTCATTTCTGACATCATAAATGACTATAAATTCATGTTCAGCGATCCAAAAGATTTGAACTAATATTTTGATCACTTCTTGTGAGTTTTGAATTTTTATTTGGAAATAAGACAACTCGCGATTGAATTTCTGAAGAGAAAAAATTGGCGGCTGTTTGATTTCGAAATTTGTAATTACACGTGACTCCATATGTGGCAGATTATTGAGCAGCCTCGATAATGTTTTACGGAAAAATAAACAACTGAACAGCTAGGCTAGTGCAGTTGGTAATAAACGCATTCATAAGTTAAAGACATTCAATACAAGACAACGTGTTACTAGAGAATGGCTCGCCTTTAAGATATATCCCAAAGCTGTAAAACATATTCTCCATTTTCATAACTAGGGTCAGCATTTCTACTGATATTATTAGTAATGTTCCGTAGTAATGTTAACAAACCCAGTGCCACGGAATGGATCACTTGGATAGGGTGTTAAAGAATTAAGCATTTCAAAGTGTAAATTCACTTTTATTCTGTCACAACTAACAATGAAGTATTTTGAAATCACGCCTTTCACCGAGGTCAAAATGAACAATAAAAACCACATAAAACTGCTCTCGAACAGTGCGGTTGTTGACATTTTTGCCCATTGAAAAGGTTCACTCACAAACTATAAATACATGTACACTTTCATGTTTAAAAGTGATCCAACATTTCTCACAATATACATCACCAACAATGATCAACTCCACGGTGTTTAATTTTAGCGAAAATGAATACTGTATTTGGTACTACAGTGTAGGACAAAGGCCGCTCGCGTGGTGAAAGTGTTGAAAAGCCGTCATTTTAAAACAAGGCAATCTTTTGAGACGCCACTTTGGGACAATTGAAGACTTAACCTAGACATTTTTAAAAGTGAATAGCAGGCACACTGGGGATCAACTGGAAACGAAGACATGTGTTTAAGCATAGTCGGACTTCCGGTTGATAATGATTTTTGTTATCTCGATTTTGTCACCTTTATCCTTTAAATTTCAACCAAATATTTGGCCCGTATATGCGTAGCTCCGGTTTGGAAATATGGTTAGACCTAAGAAATACAAGGCGTATAAAAAAAACACAACAAATATATAAATCTTAAAAATCACAAAATTTTGAAAAGTCAGCGCACAAATTACAAGACAATTTCCCCGCTTAGGAAACGAAGAAAGTTTCTCAGAGAAACGAAGACAGTAAGATTTTTGAAGCAAAAAGGAGAACAGCACATTCAATGATTCTTGGATGTACTAAGTAGATAAGTCACGCAGAGTCACAAAAGAGTTCAATTCCTCCAAGACATCTACAGTTTGATTACAAGTGCAAATGTGACCCTCCAATCATAGTGATATTACTACGTTGATGCACTAGTAAAACTAAATGTCTTCGTTGCAAATAAAAGATCGTATCATTGTTACAAAACGGAAAGTGTCTTCGTTCACCTTCTTCTAAGGCCTCCACTTTATGCTGGTCATGAAACCCTGTATGTTTTATTGTTTTTTACGGTGTCCGGTTGCTATTCATGAAGTGAAATATAATTGACACACCTTCATTGATCTTCGTATGTAGTGTTAGTTCATATGTCCGTCTACATCCGTGTTATTTCATCTTTTTCAGAACCGGTATCAGAGTAAATATAGTCTCCCGAAATATATGGTCCGTGTGTAGTCTTAACCGGACCATATTTTCTGTATTGGTGGCAATATAACCCCGGACTATATTTACTGATGGACTAAAATACCTACGAAAATACGAGATAGTCCATCGGCCTTGTTATTCTAGATAATATAGTCCCGGACTTTATTTTCTAGGAAAGGATATGGAACATGGTCTATATTTGCGTTGACAGCGGCAGTTTAGAGCATTTTCATCACCACATTTTACCGCTGCCATATTCTGCCGTTATGGAGTCATGTCGTGATTATAAAATTCAGACGCCATTTTTACACTTCAAAATTTGAATCCGAATTTTGGCCTTTTGTGAAGTTAGACTTTGATTAAGTAATGATGTTAATTGTTGAGCAAGTGTAATTTTAAATTCTTTTTGAAGGTGGAAAGAGTATGAGAATAAGCAATTTTATGAGGTAAAGACGTTCCACAGGTCTGGCCCTGTCTTAGTTTAATAGAATATTTTCCCATGTTTGTTCTGATTGTACTAGATCTAAGATTGTATATTTGTCTGGTTTGATGAGCACGTACATCAGAATTAAAAGTGAAGTAGGATCTGAATTGCTGGGAATATGTTTTGTTTACCTCTTTAATGCATTTGAATACAGATGTTAGCAATATTGAAATGGACAATTTGAAATATGCTTAATATGCCAGTTTTTTTGAAAAAGGATGTGTATTGTCACGCATCTTGCAATCTAAATCATACAATCTTACAAATTGTTTTTGCAATCTGTGTAATTTCAATAAAAAATGGGTATCGATATGGCGAACCTTTTGAACACACGTTTCTCTTAAACCAGTCATCAAAAATTTCTGATAATCTTACAAATTGTCAATTTAATGGCCATCTTTTGAATGGTAGCAATATAATTTGAAATAGATATACGGCTTTCATCTATATTGTTTTAAAAAACACATCAAACACTTGTTTTGTTCTTGGTATCATGTTTCCAGAGTGAAATGAAACATCTTTCCGAACCTCATTGGAACAAAACGACATAAACACAACATGTTTAGGTCTCTCAATATTATAATTGTACAAAAGAAATTTTGGTGGATTTAAAAAAAGTATCTTGTTAATGAAATAAAAGGTTTTTCTTGATTTTTATCTATTTTGGGAGGATTTTGTTTTAATTTTTTGAATACTTTTTTAAAATCAACCAAAAAGTCCTTTGTATAACTTTAATATTGAGAGGTCTAAAAACATGTTGTATATGCTATTTTGTTCCAACAAGGTTCGGAAAGACATTTTATTTCATTCTCAAGAATTGGTAGAAAGGAACAAAAACAATTGCACTAAAAAAAAAAAATGTTAACAAAAACAGTTATATAAAATATTTCTAAATAATTTTCGCATTAAATTGTTGTCAATCAGTCAGCATTACATAAAATACCATGTTTTTTACAGAATGTTTTCAATGATTGGTTTAAGAGAAAAACATTGTTGAATTCAGTTCTCCATATCGATACCTATCCTTTGTATGTGGAACACTTCCCCAAATTAGGATGTTATAGTTTAAGTGTGAGTGAATTAATGAGTGATATATTGTTTTAAGGCTTTTTTTATCTAAGTAATCCTTTATTCTGTGAAGAACGCCTAGTATCTTAGATATCTTAGTCTCAACATATTTTATATGCGGTTTCCAAGATAAATTTTCGTCGACTAGAGTGCCAAGAAAATTACTTACATTGGTTCTCTCTAATATAGTATGATTCATGTTTAAGTTTATTTTGTTGTAATCTATTATTTTATTTGATGTTTTGAATATAATATAGTTAGTTTTTGATGCATTTAAGGCAAGTTTATTCCATATGAACCATTCATTGATTTTGACGAGTTCTGTATTGACGGTGTTATTTAGTTCTTCCAGATTTTTGCCAGAAAATATAATATTTGTATCATCAGCATAAAGAAACAATATCTGAGCACTTGTAAATATCATTAGTATATATTATAAACAGCAGGGGTCCCAAGAGTGTGCCTTGTGGCACACCACAGGACAGATGAAGAACATCAGAATTAGTATCACCTTCTATTTGAACAAATTGAGTGCGGTTACTTAGATGACTTTCAAACCAGTCAGCTGCGAGACCTCTGATGCCATAATATTTCAGTTTGCTCAATAAAATGTTATGATTAAGCGTATCGAAGGCTTTTGAGAGATCACACATTAGACCAATGCAGAATTCTTGCTTTTCTAATGCCTTACGCACAGTTTCAATGAATTTTTGGACTGCCATATATGTAGAGTGGTTCTTATTAAAGCCATATTGATGGGCATATAGAACATTTTGTCTCTCGAGGTAGTCAAAGATTCTGGTATACATACATTTCTCAATTACCTTTTGAAAAAAAGGAAAGAACTGAGATTGGTCTATAGTGGTTAAATAAATCAGTTCTGTCTTTCTTATGAATTGGAATTACCTTGGCAAATTTAAGACTGTCT